TTTTGTATGAATTTGCACTATACATGTTTGTATTCGTACTCCTTCCAAACTAAGCCTAAGGAAAAACTAGGATGAAGCAAATTCTGCACCGGATAGTAATATATTATAGACTTGGCAATTGGGTTGGGCTGTCAGGACGAGGCATTTTTGGGTCATTTCAGGTTGGGTTAACAAAGGCTGGACTCTAACCTTAAATATTCAGGTTAGGTGTTAAACTATGGGCTGTGTGGGTCAATGGTTAAACCACCTGGGTTAATTTGTCTTTGGCCCAAGTTAATGATTTTTTACGAAAAATACGGGTTCAACTGCCTGGTTTGAATGGTTCCATCATCCAAGTCAACATCGATTTGAAAATAAGTGATATAGTGGTGGCCCATGACCCGAGGTCAGGTTGGAACATTTTCCGGTTCGAGTCACTGGATGGGGGACCCTAACCCTCTGTCGGGTTGGGTTGCCTTTTGCCTAGTATAGCAATACAAATCATAATTACAAATAAATGGATTCAATTCAGTTTTACACCTCAAACAGACCCTTTCGGGATTAAAAAGAAATGGACATGAGTCCGGATCTAAAACCAAGCATTTAGACACATTGTCGTGGCTGGAGAGGACATGGGCTGATTATTTATTTATTTATTTTGATAGAACAGGAAAGGGTGCTACATAAGACCAGGGGGATAGCACTTCCCCACAAATCCAAACAGCAAATAATACCTAAAGCTCTCGGGATAGAAGAACCAGAAACAACATTACAATGCGCAAAATTAACCAACCAATCTGCAGCTCTATTGCCCTCCGGAAGGTGTGACGATATTCCACTTGCTCCTCAATTCTCTCTCGCAATACCCTGCAATCCTCATCTCAATGATCTGTATAGAGACTCCACCTTTTTGTTTAAGCTGTCAACGACCAACTTCGAATCTTCCTCAATAATGATCTTCCTGCTTCAATCTCCATGTATGCTTCTAGTTGGATAAAGGAATCAGGCTGCTCACCAAGAGTTTTGGACCAAGCGGGTGGTGGGCCTTCTAAAAGCTAGAAAAACATTGGCCTAGGCCCATAATTGCGATCTACAAGGGGACACATGTCTGGGAGTCGAGGAATTTCTTTTCTTTTTTTCTTTTATTATTCTAAGAAGCTAGATAAAGGAGCGTCATTTCGTATTGGTATCATCACTTGCTTCGTCAGTAGGTCTATGGTTAGTTTATTTATAAAAGTAAGGTTATGTTTGATAAATTCTAGGATTTGTAAAAACATAATGCCCTAATTTGCTTCGTGCTTTGGGGCTTGAGTGCCCATTTGGGAGGATTTTCATGTAGTGGTTTTTGGCTTTGCAAGATGGACTCAATACAGAAGATCTAGAAACTATATTTAGTAAAAAGTCCGAATACATTTTACTTGAACTATTAAATAAATATTTTGGTGAAGCTATTTTCAGTAGCTTCTTTAATGTGACTAACTTAGTCAACACCAGAATACGCTTTAATTAAGCTATTAAATCAATTTTTGGAGAAGCTAGTTTCAATAACTTCTTTACTGTGACTCGGTCAATGCAGCACAATCAAAGCTGAAGCCCCTCCCAAAAAAGCTGTAAAAGTGTAGTGTTTTGGTTTTAGATTGTTATATAGCAATGGGTCAGGTCTGGGTTGTAATTAACTGGAATCGAAACAGACAACATATGAAATGTTAAGGATCCGGACCCGGACCTGTATGCGATAGGGTTTATAATTTCTAGACCCGGAATCGAATTGATCGGTTCTCGAGACAATCGAACCTGATTTGACATACCCGATTATAATAAATAAAAAATAAACATTTATGTTTAATATATATATATATTAAATATTCTATCTATCTATCTATCTAAATTATATTATATATATAATTTATTTATTTAATATATTATACATTATCTATATATATTGGGTTGAGTCTGAATCAGTTCAAGAATATATAGAACTGGTTCTAAACCAATAGTAATCAGGATCCAATATCAGAATCCAAAACCGGCCTGTCAATTCCAGCTCCCATAACCAAAACTGGCCCCAATCGGTTCGAATCCATTAGATCGGACCCAACCCACTAACAGCCCTTTATGTTTCCAAAAAATAAATCTTAGCAAATTCTCAAAACACTTCTCCACTCATTTTTTGTTTCCAACAGCCCAAAGCTCAAAGGTAGAAGCTTCTCTAAACAGAAGCTCAACTTATTACATAAATTATTTATCATAGGTCATACGTAAGTTGCATTTTCACTTGGTTTGAGTCAATTAAGCTTACTAATCCCACCTCCTTCTAAAGACTGTTGACACCTAGAATTAACTTGTACATTAGTAGATAAAATGTATTTTCTAGGTTGGTTAACATGTAACATAGTTATAACAGTGGATGCGGTAGATGTCTGTTGTAGCTTTTGCCAACATATGATACATCATTATATACCACCCTTCAGTTCCGCACCCTCGGTCCTACCATCACTCACCTCGTTTTTCACTTCTAAGAATTGGATTTCCTTCTTTATCAATAATAAAAAATATTAAGGAGGTGTGATTATGAAGCTAGAGAAAAAGAGAAAGAAACGGATGGATCCACCAACAAAATAAGCATAAAATCTAGGGAGAAAAAATGAAATATGATGAATGGGACATGGGTGCAATAAGGACATTGGATGGGTTTCAGAGGATTCACCAGCCTTGCCAACATGTCATTGCTTTAACTTGGAAACTAAGCGACGTTTCAACCTTTCTCTACTAACTCCGACTAAGTACACAAACAAAAGGGTGGTACTCTATACTGACTACCGACTACAAATGAAAGTTGCTTTGTCTTTACTTTTTTCTCAAATATTAAGTTTGGTAAGTTTTTAACATTGTTCTCTAACTACCACTGATAAACGTCACCAGAAAAATAAAATAATAAATAAATAAATAAAAACCTACTACTAATAAAGATGCACCAACAACTAAGCTAGGGTTGCCACCCTGAGCCATGACTTTAGTTTAATTATCTATAAAGTACCTCACCAGGTCAGTCCCACCATGAACTAATGAGCTTGTTGTGGTTAGCAAGCCCAAGCTCCACAAAGACTACAATTGCTACAATCTCCACAAAGACTACCATTGCTACAATCATGGTGTTACAGCATTTAGGGGTGTCAATTGGACTTGATTTACTTGGATCTAATTCGGTTTAATATGAGTCCATTATAGATGAATCCGGTCCAATTCAATCTAATGAATATTTTTGGACCATTTTGGATTGTCCCAATTTAATGCTTGGACTGTTCAATCTGTTCAAATTGATTTTAATTTAGATTGGTTCCAACCCAAACCTGGTCCATGGACACCAGCATTCTTACCTTCTATTAGTATGTAGAGGATATTAGTTCAATCCGACACAATCCAAAATAAATCCATTATGAATGAACCAGGGCCAATCCAATTCAATTAATACTTTGGACCATTAAATTTAGACTAGTCCAATTCAATATGTTTATTGCTCCGCCCAATCTATCCAAATTGATTTTGATTTGGATGGGGTTCAACCCAAAACCAGTCTATTGAAACCCTAGCAGCATTCCCTTGCTACCCCTCCCGAACAGAACAATAAAACTAAACAAATGAATGCATTAGGAAAAATTATAAAAATTACACTAATATAATGCTAAAACTGAATTTCTGGTTCAACTGACTATTTAAATGCATAAGAAACACATGTTTTAATTAACAAGTGCTCAACTATGATGCCATTAAAACTTATAATCAATCAACTAGCATCATAAAAATGATAATCAATTACGTGGATTTTCAAAATTCACAAGGGGTTTTGATTGGTCAAATCCTTCCGGTATCATGTCATGTTTTTTGGGAATGAATTTTCTTGTTAATAATTTATGCCATTTGTGGACTATGGGAATGCAATTGAGAATTAAGATATGCATAGATATGCTTGCAATTAGAAATGCTATTGATGTCTTAAACATTTTTTTTAAATGCAATTTATTTTAAACAATAAGAAAACAAATACCCTTCTTCACCATGAGAAGGTAGAAATAGGTGGATAAGTGCTTCAATCACCACTTTATTATATCATCATCATCATTTATTAATTAAATGAGACATGTAGATCAGATCCACATAGAATAAATGCGAACATTTATAGTGTAAATATAAGGTTTAAAAATATTATTTTTTGATAAAAAATTAAAAATATCATATAAAATGTCTTGCACCCAACATTTATATTTGCACGTACTCTTTTCCAAACTGAAACTAATGCTCTGTCCATCTGGGTTGGCAATGGATATGGAATAAGCTTCTGACCACTTCATGTAGAGGCTAGGAGAAGTTGTATGATTAATTGTGTCCTTTGACCTCCWATTTTTAAGGTGGGTAAGACATCGGGACAAATGGTTGATAACTTGATATTCGGTGTTTCAGGGGAGTTCACATCTCCGTCCCACAATGTCTCGCCCCACARCACATTCTCGCCGTGTATTGAGAGCATCTCCGGATGATATCATCGATTCTGATACATCATCCAAAAATGTTCCAAATACAGGACGAGAGTGTGATGTAGGGCGCAGATGTGGTCTCGTTTCTCAGTACCCATCATATCATCCCTATTTCCTAATCAGTTCAGTCCCACCTCAAATGTCGACGTGATCAAATATTCAAATTCAAATGCTTTTCATAGCCTCTTGCTTCGTCTTTTCACGAAGTATATTCTTTCTATTGACGACCTCACAAGTTTTCTCTATCTAGATTCTAGTCCTAATCCTTCCATCTATAGGCAGTAATTTCCATCTGTAAACGGTGGAGCTTGCAGATGGGTCTATCATAGTAATATAGAACTGTTCCGAAAAGGACCCCTCGGAAAAGCTAGCTAGCTTTGATTTCACTCTTCTCTCTCTCTCTCTAACTAAAAGTATGAAGGGTTAAAGAACCTTCTTCATGGCTTGGAATTGGAATCAAGAGGTAGTTACCCAATTAGAATTTAGAAGAAAAGGTGAAAAAGACGATTCTCCCTTCAAAACCCAAACCAGTTTCTTAAAGAAAACCCATCCCACCAAACCCCATTAAACCTAATACATATTTCCAGCTCCTTTCCTTTCTCCTTCTCTCTCTCTCTGTCTCTATATCACCACTGCTATCTTCCCTCACTATTCACGCTTTCGTCATATCATGTGGCAACCTCGCCGGAAAACGCCTTCCTTTCTCTCAGACTCTGCACCGATGAAGTACAGCGGGAGTGGCCGGAAAAGCAACAACCTCTCCATCTTTGTCGTTGTCTTCTCCATCTTTCTCTTCRCGGGTTTCATGTACAATGAGGACGTCAAATCGATCGCAGAGTTTCCGTTCTCGAGGCCCAAAACCCAGGAACTCGAGCAAAACCACCCGCACTTAGACAAAACGGTCRAAGAAACCGGCAAGAGCCACAACCAGAGGTCAATTTCTATGACTTCAAGGACTAGTAAGCAAGCGGTGGTGGATAATCCTGAAGAATCTGCAGAAGCCATTAACCTGAAGATGATCATAACGAAGGAAAACGATCAAGAAACAGAATTGCCTGATGCTAAAGAAGAAGAAGAGGTGATTGATGTGCCTCCAGAAGACTGCGATCTCTTTACGGGTGAGTGGGTTTTCGACAACGTCTCTCATCCCCTCTACAAAGAAGATGAATGTGAGTTCCTCACTGCACAGGTAACGTGCATGAGGAATGGTAGAGAGGATTCTCTATACCAGAATTGGAGATGGCAACCCAGAGATTGTTCTTTGCCCAAGTAAGAGAGAATGACTTCTTCTCTGTTGATGTCCAAATTAACCAATTTCAGCTCTTCTTTAATTGTAAAAGAACCTCGCTGATCGTTGATTATTTGTTATTCGATCTGTTCAGATTTAGTGCAAGATTGTTGCTTGAGAAGCTCAGAGGAAAGCGACTTATGTTCGTTGGCGACTCGTTGAATCGAAACCAGTGGGAATCCATGGTTTGTCTGGTTCAATCCGTCATCCCTCCTGGCAAGAAGAGCTTGAACAAGTTTGGTTCGCTTTCTGTTTTCAGAGCTGAGGTCTCTCTCTCTCTCAAAGGAATAATGAACCGCCCGACTTGATTCGTGTCAAACGGATATTCGGGTTGTACATAGATTCAGTGGCTCTCTGCTTTCTTTGTTTCTTTAACCTGATCATCGTGTCATTTGTTACGTGAAGGAATATGGAACTACTGTGGAGTTCTACTGGGCCCCATTTTTGGTCCAATCGAACTCGGATGATCCAACCATGCACAGCATTTTGGACCGGATCATCATGCCCGAGTCAATCTCCAAGCACGGAGAGAATTGGAAAGAGGTAGATTATTTGATTTTCAATACATACATATGGTGGATGAACACCCTCCAGATGAAAGTTCTGTAAGTATTGACACCATTGCTAAACTCTTAGTCCTTACTGCTTTTATATTTAACTGTTGTATATATATATATGATCATGACTTCTCATTTTTTCCCCTCTTTAATATGCTGATTGAAAGGCGAGGGTCATTCGACGAGGGGGACACGGAATATGATGAGATCGAACGGCCAATAGCCTACGAGAGGGTCTTAAGAACATGGGCCAAGTGGGTAGATGAAAATGTGGATCCGAGACGTACCGCAGTTTTCTTCAGCAGCATGTCTCCTCTTCATATCAAGTAAAACTCAAAACCCAAGTTTATCTAATTTTTAACACTCCGCTTGCTTCTTATTTTCATTTTTTTTTTCAATTTGTGTTAATTACTCCCACCGTCCCACGCTGCCATCATTGGGCTGACTCCATTACAAAGCTGGATAGCCTGGATCATCAAAAATCACCATGCTCACCTAAAATAATAAGAATCGGTTGAGGGACCCAAACACTCCATTATGCTACTTATGCTTTACGTTTGATCATTAGCCAATTGCCAGCCCTCTTGTGTTGTTCGATCATCGAAGCTGAATCACGCTTAGGTAGAGATAGAGCGGTCCACTGAATGACTGAAATAATCCATCAAACAGATGGTTCACCCAATTTGGTTTGACTAGGGAATCGAGTCCAACCTTCCTTTTTTATAAGAGCAATGGTAGTTCCAACTTCCAACAACAAAATTGGGCCTAATAAAACTAAACCAGCCCACCAGGACTATGGGAATTAGGAGATATTTTAGAAATGTGATTATGGGATCTTAAGTTTTTTGGAATTTAGGCTGTGTTTGGTTGTAAAGCAAATAAATTTGTAGTGATACAAAACCATGTCAGTGCAAATGATCTGAATGTAAATTTTGACCAATTTTTATTTCAAAATTTAGCTTATTTTGTTTTATTATAATACCAACAAAGTAAATTAAGGACAAGAAACAGAATAAAGTAAAATCCAAAACAAAATTAAATAAGAATTTTCATTTTTTACAAATACAAATATTGTATTTATTTGAAAGGAATAAATATGTAGAGTGTAAAACATTGTATTTTGTATTAGTTTTTATGTATTTGTAGTATATGTATTCTTTTCAAACGGAGCCTTTTAAGAAATATTCAAGGGTATTTTAAAATTAATATTGAACATATGAATATTTTAATAATTTATCAACGGGTTTAGAATTAATTTGAGAATTATATTCAAATCCCATCTCTTATTCAGAGCAAAAATATTTTTCCATTCCCGTTTAATATCAGGAAAACCCACCCCATTCTGTTTTGTCTGTTTTTTTTTTTCTTGCCTTTTTTGTAATGCATGAATGAATATTGAATAATTAATTGGTGTTTGGGGTGCATGAATGGAGTAGGAGCACGGACTGGGACAATCCGAATGGGATCAAGTGTGCAAAAGAGACCACCCCGGTGTTGAACAGAACGAGTCGTTTGGAAGTGGGGACGGATCGGCGGCTCTTTGGGGCGGGGAGGAACGTGTTTGAATCGATGAAGGTGCCAGTCTACTTTCTCAACATAACAACCCTATCCGAGTACCGGAAGGACGCACACACCTCAGTCTACACCATTCGTCAAGGCAAGATGCTTACACCGGAGCAAAAGGCCGACCCCGCCACATTCGCTGATTGTATCCACTGGTGCCTACCGGGCTTGCCCGACACATGGAACGAGTTCCTCTACACTCGTATCATCTCTCGCTCCTCCTCATCCTGAGTCCTGACGCACCACATGATTCACCCATCATCGATCCCTAGCTCTATTTGTAATTCAAATCGATCCTCCCTCATTTTTCTTCTTCTTTCTTTCCTTGTTTCTTTGAATTCTTGATCACTAGGTTTCAGAAGCTTTTGTTTAATTTCTCTAGTCAGCCTGATTGGCTGAAATATGATAGGCAGCCAAGAAGGTGTGCTATGTTTCAGGCAAGTCGCGAATCATGGACCCCTTGAAACTGGTCATCGCAATTTGCCTGCCTCAAAAAATGTATAATGGACATTCCACAGAAAAGAAATAAAAAAAAAATCAAGAACATACAAGAAAATCTCCAATTAATGATCTTACAAAAGTCATAATTTCTAATGATATGAATTGATGATTCTTCTCAGCATGGGTGATGAATGAGACCATGCACCTTTGATCGACTGAGTACGAGTGCCTACGTTGCAGTTGTAACAAAACCGCAAAGGCTTGCTTCAGTTGCTTGTGTAGTGAGAAAAATGTTCCGATTCAGAAAAAGAGAAGAAGCAGGTCAAACGTTGGGCCTACGTCAGTGTTGGGTGTTAAGAGATTCGTGTCAATGTTTTGGTATTAGGTCAAAAGTCTTTGTCGGGATCAGATTCACTGATTCAGGTGCACTGTAGAGGGTCCCAACTCCTGCTTTGATCTTTCAAGCCAACCGTGCTTAATTAATTAATTAATAAGAGTTTTTACTGTTCAATTCACTTCTAGAAATCTTACCTCCACCCTAGGGGTGGAATGAATCCTGACCGTGGGTTGGGCTTATCATTGGATTAGGTTAAACAAAATGATAATCCTAAGTTAAATTCAGGCTTAGGATTTGCCTTCAGGCTTAAAGAAAGATCAATTAGTATACCTATACATGTTGCTTATCCAGAAAATATATAAAATTAATAAAAATAATAAAATGTTGTATATGATTGTATTTCACCATTCTGTTTAAGGAAAAATATTTTTTGTAATTTTACCCTTTTAAGGAAAAAAAAACTATATTGCTGAAAAGGCTCTTGTAAATTATTTATCTAACGAGTAAGTTGAATGAAATTTGCCGCTTAGGCTATGTTTGGTTTGAAACAAAAGGTAGAAAAAGGAAGGGAAAGACAAGAAAATCAATACAAGGGTTGTAAAGGTTTTCTTACCTTTCCCTACAATTTCCTTCAAACCAAACATAACCTTAAAGAAAAATCAATTAGTATACATAATACATGTTGCTTGTCCGAAAACATAAAAAACAATAATGATGAAGGGAAATTTGGCCCGACCTCGCGATCGCCCGACACGTGGCAAAGGCAAGCAGCTCGGGACAGTAGAGCGCCCAAAGCAAATATCGGAAGCAAGTCCAAACTCACTACCGAGCCCGAACTCCAGACCGCTGTACTTAGTCCGAGCTCCTTGTCAAGAGCGAGCTCCCTGTCAAAGGCCCGAGCTCCCTAAAAACCCGAGCTCCCTAAGTCCGAGCTCCCTA